TCATTTCGTATCCACGATTCTGTATTCAAGACCTTCAGTCCGACGTTAATACTGAACTTCTAGACCACTGTGCCAGTATCCAACAGTATTATTGTCTAACTTCAGCCAATCCATGACATTGCGCGACCATATTCCATTGTTTTCGGTAGGTAACTGCCTCACATCCAACATGGTTCAATTCCACTGATCACGGCTTCTTACTAGAACTCGGAGAATCGCCTCCATCTTAACTAGTCATTATTGAGCACATGATAATTATCTGTTTGGATTAATACTCAAATTAATTGTCTAACAGATCATGTTCCACACAGAAATAATACAATTGAGTATTGAACTGGACATAAGTTAAGTAAATGTTCAGTTATATTAGATCCAATAATACGATTTAGTTTAGGTGGAGTTTTGTTCTATGAGCTGGATGGTTTAGTCGTGAAGCTTTCATCGTTCTTCTGAACAACATCATCAGCACAAACTGAAGGTAGAAGTGAAGTGTCTCAAATTCTCTACGTATGACACACAGCTTGTCCTGTTGAACTCGATCTTGATTGGTTGTTGTTGAGTAAATTGGAACACTTCACTTCTACTTGAAGTTTGTGATGATGATGTTGTTCAGGAGAACAGTTAATGCTTCTTGACTAAACCGTTCATCTGAGAGAACAAAACATCACCTTAATCATCCACCTGAGCTAAAAATCTCCACCATCTCAAAATGCAATTTAATGTTATGCTAAATAAAAACAGCATCAAATTAACTTGAGAGTAAAATGGACAGAAATCGGTCGGGGTGGAATTTCAGTCAAGGAGAATTTGTGCATGATACTTACCATAGATTTACTCTTTGAAATACTAATTAATCTTTTCTGGAGTAAAACTAGGCGAGTAAACCAAAGCTTTGTACTAGATACAGTTTTCATCCAGTTTTTATCACAAATTATGTAAAATCACCTTAGTTATTCAGTTCTGTTTGAGTGTATTCTATTTCAACCTGATTGTAGTTACTCTAGCAAATCGATAATCGAACAAACAAAAATGTACTGTCCTGCAAAGTTACCTTTGAGTACTGTTTGGTGTTGTACCGAGTTATTACTACTTAGGATTAAATGTCTAAAATGCACCATCATAACGGATGTAAATATGTATTAATCCTTCATAAAACTCACATATGGACAATGATGGTGAGTTGATATTTGAAATACAGCAATACAATAATCTAGTTAATTATTACCCACTTATGCTTTGTCCAGAAGTGATACAGACAGTGAGTTTCTCTAATAGCTATGTAGAGTCTTTTCAAACAACTTCTACAACTACTGATCAATTTCCAATCAGAGATCTATTACGTCGATGAATAAGGGGTGTTTCACCTGTGTTTTCTAAATGATCTATTAGTTTCTGCTAATCAAGTAAAATTGTCAAAACTATGAATACTGAGTTATCGAAAAGATTAGAAAATCTTGCTTTTTCATTATTAATCAAAATAAACTTTCCACAATTCCAACAATTAGTACTTGGAATATCGGTTGTCTACAGAGAACGAATTTGAATTTTTTAAATATTTTAATACGATCCAAAGTTTGGAGATCAGTCTGTTCCTTCCCAGTAATTTGCTTAAAACCTGAAGTTGGCCAAATGTCAACTGATTTTAATAGATCGTCGACAATTCAATAGCATTATTTACAACAAGTCAGAATTTTAAAACCACCTTACAACCTATCAGTTAAAACCTAAATACACTAAAACATTTGATTAATTTTAATCATGGGTTGTACTTATTCCAAATTACAGTGATAAACCTAGTAATTTATCTGTGCTTACACTGATAGATTGTTTCAACTAATTACAGTATTAAAAAGTTAATAATATTCAGTCAAGCATTGAGCAATAGACACGGTCAACTCCTCGATGTGGAAAACTAAATATGAGTACATAGTGTAAGTTGACAATAATTACGTTTTACGGTTTGCTACAAGTACATTTGTATACAAATACAAGCAAATAAGCAGTTTTCAGCCTTCTGTTTTTGAAAACAGCGTAGTGAATGGGGAAAAAAACATGCGGAGTATTCTACCCTTTGTAAGATCAGTAGCAAAATAAAATACAAAGAGATTTCACCTCTATAAACGATATTAGTAGTCATTAAAGCGATAATCTATTGGGGCAATAAGTAGCCTACATATATGATACAACATAATGATAAAATCTTATAGAGAAGAATGACAAGAAAAAATAGTCAGCAAGAAGAATCTATTTTTGAAGCACTTCTACAAGTGTACGTTTATTTAATGAAAATAAATTCTGGTATATATGAGCACAAATGTACTATGCTTCAAATAACTAGAGAAATAATATTGCAAATAAATAAATGAGGGAAGGAAATTACATTTCAAAAAAAATTAAGTTGGTAAGACTTGTACATAATAGAGAAAACGCAGTTACGAAGCAATTATTACATTTAATCGAATCTCTCTTAGACTACACCGCCCTGGTAAACTGAATTCTTACATAGCTATAGCCTTACTGTTATTAGATTCGTAGTAATTATATTTAACTTTTGCTCCAAAATGTGAAGTGTTTATAAAAATGGTTAACTGGGAAGTTCATCCTCTTTATAATTTACTTAACGTGTATGTAAATTTCTGTCTCTTTGAATCAGCTTGAAAGACTTTATAGAGTATTCATGTAGCTGTAAATCAATGACTAAATATTTATACATTTGAATGAGATAAAACAAACTGTATTATTACCTAAGTTCATATTGCTACCAACGGTTAATAATATGGACACTGAAGATCACATATTCTTTCGAGGAAGCTGGTGTCTAATATTGTCGTACGAGATTTTCAGTCAGTTTATTGATTAAGCTTACGAAATAACTGCGTTGTCAGAATTATTGTCCAATGCTCCCGCCTTATGCTAATCGACATAGATAAGCTCTTACTACATGGTTCCGAGTCTTATAATCTCACTTAACTTAGTATTCATTTATCGATCTACAAAAGAAACTGTAAAGATACGAAGCATAAAGTATTATAGTGGTCTGTCTATGGGTTGTTTGGACAGCCGCCATTTCAGCTTGTATCTAATCAGTTACAAACGACTGAGTAACAAAAGTTTTACCCGTAATTTTAATGACAATTTCAATTATTCATGTTGTGTTTTGCCCCTTCTTCTCACATTTAAGCAAACATAACTGGACGCCCTAGTCCAAAATTATTATCTATTACTGACTAAAACATTATCATACTCACTTACACAGTAAAAATTTTCATCCCACATCCTCACTTCTTATTGTTTATGTTGCAATCTTTGTCTATGCCAACTACGCCAGTATGCTTTAGATATGATTCAATTTAATAATTGCCCACTATAGAAAAACCTGTAAGATTCTCAGCTTTTAGCAAAATATATTACCAACAGTTCACTCTGTTTTAACATGTTTAAGACTTGCAAGCGTGTGGAGCTATCAGGAAATAAAATAGTATGTGATTAGCTATGATGGACTTAGTTTTCAAAGTGTCTGCATCACTAATCGTTCTTCACAAAGAATGTGGATGATTGTGAATCATTCAAAAAGATTTTACGACATATTCATCTGATCCCAAGGCAACACGAAACATCGATTCACAGTTAAGAGATCTCGACTGAAAATTTCATTTGCAATTTAGAGTTCTGATGATTTCTTTGTGAATCGCATTCCTTGTCATTTTTTGTTCAGGCCACATATATATTTGAATGACATAAACATTTACTTCTATCTCGTGTGAAACCTAACATAAGAGAACGAGAATAATGAATGGTTGCTGTGGATATGAAGAAACAGTGAAGTCTGAGACGATTGATTGACATTTTGAAAATTGAGTATTCACTGTATGGTTCTCAGATTTTACGTAGACTTTCTGTAATGTTGTGTTCGAATCCATTTGGTTGTCCTCACTTGTGTTCTCGTCCACTACCATAGTATCTTAGTTTATGCAGATATTTTCCAGTTCAATAGAAACGGTGCTTGATCAAGAGCCTAGTTAATAGAGTTAATAATATCTTCATAGATTGTACTACTGAAGACACGATGAAGCTATTATATAAAACATTGATGAAAACTGACTTTCTATATCATATAATTTATTACATCAATAAAGTCTTTTCAATCAAATCACTTAACTGTTTACAACTCCACATCCACAGATTACTATCAATGATTTACAGTATATCTCCATTTACACTGTGTTAACCAGTTTTGAAAACTGATATCACTTTGAAATATTCGGTTGCTTAAATTGAAGACATACTACCCTTTCTCTCTTACAAATACTTTTATCTCAGTGTTTGTCACTTCATATTTGCTGAACATCCCATCACATTTATTAACACAATTTGAAATATTTGTTATATACACTTAAGAATATCTCTTCTTTCAAGTGTGAAGATCAATATGATACATGACATTAAATAACTATAATATAAACTTTAGCCTATTTTTATCCATTTCCAATTTATAACTTAAAATATACCTAGTAACATAATATTAGATATTTTGTGTTAAACAATTCTTCCAACTGATAGGTCCTGTGTACGAATCTCTCGGGGGGGGGAGCCGGATCGTAGATGCGCACTGTTGAGGAGTCCCACAATAGAACGAAACGGCCGTCCAGTGTTTCCATGTTTTCCATGTTGGTCTAAGTTCCATTGATTCATGATCTCAACTACTGAAATTCTTCCAGCTATCGATTTTAAAGTTTGAATCCAGTAGATATTCATATTTATGATATAAATTAATCAATCAATCAATCAATCAATAATACCATCGTCAATACAAAATCTATACAACTTATCATGTTTTATTTGATACGATTTTCTATTAAATAGTTTCTATTATATTTCTCTAATATAAGAGTATAGAATAAAGTTTTTACCATTTATTAAAACGTTTTATTTAAACAATATTATTACGAAACAATTAATTATTCTTTTAATATTTTAGTAATAAAATTCATTCCTTTATGTTATGTCATATAACATGTACTCATTTCAGTAGGTGTTAATTTTTCACACATTATTCGTACTTTACATCCATCAATTTCTACTGGAATTGAATGCCTTTCACAACATAAAAAAGCAACTGTATAAACAGCAATATCAAATTCTGGAGCTGATCCAACAAAAATTGAACCTAATGGTTTTTTATATTTATTTTCTTCAAGATATTCTATAGTGATTAAATGTTCATGAACAGACTACAATGAAAACATAAATAAATAAATAAATAAATAAACAAATAATAAATATCAAGATGAAATTATAATGAAAGTATTGAACTAACATAGAATTTATTGACATAAACATTTTAAATATTGACCGATATTTGATACAAGTACAATTTAATCATTTTTTCTGGTTAGCGTTATTTAAGCGAGTTAGTTTTCTACAGGATGAGGTCGCTAACCCCATGCCCAACCCTCCTACTTTATCCGGGCATGGGACCGACAGTAGCCCACGGAGGGACTCCAGGATTTTCAACAGAAATTTTAAGACAGTTCTACTGTATGGGGCCGAAACCTGGAAAACCACGAAAGCCAATATCCAGAAGATACAGATGTTTATTAACAGTTGTCTACGCAAAATGCTTCGGATCCGTTGACCAGACACTATTTACAACAACCTACTGTGGGATAAAACAAACTAGATCCCAGTGGAGGAAGAAATCAGGAAGAAGCGCTGGAAGTGGACAGGACACACATTGAGGAAAGCACCCAATTGCGTCAACAGACAAGCCCTCACACGGAACCCTCGAAGCCAAGGGAAAACAGGAAGACCAAAGAACACATTACGCCGGAAAATGGAGATAGACATGAAAAAAATGGACAAGAATTGGATGGAACTAGAACAAAGTAAGATGGAGAATGCTGGTCGGCGGCCTATGCTCCATTGGGAGTAACAGGCGCAAGTAAGTAATTAAGTCAAATTTAATCATAGTTTATATATACATTCGACCTGTACACAATGATTCTGTAACTTTATTATTTATAAAGTAAAAGCGAAGTTTAAATTCACTTGTTTTTGTTTTGCTTGTATCTTCTCATTAATGTTTAGGACTACAATTGATCAGTCTGTTATCGGCATATGTGCATACTGTGCGGATTGACTCGATATTGCCCTAATTCACAACCATTATAAGCAATGATGAATAGTGGATAGCAGTGGAATCTAGGATGCGCGTTTCGTCTTGTAAGGACTCGACAGCTGGATGTACTCGCATCTCAGAGATGATATTCACTCTGAGAGTCAAACCTAGTACCGTTCGTTTCAAATGTCATCGCGTTATCTACTTAGCTACTGAGCCAATAAAAGACTGATCTATTACAGTCCTAAATGACAATGGGAAGATACAAGTCAAACAATACCAAGTGAATTTAAACTTCACCTCATTTCACAAGCAAGTGGCTATCATGAGTCAGTAGGTAAGTGGATAACTCTATGGTGTTTGAAGCGAATGGTACTGGGTTTGACTCTAAAAGTGAACATCAACTCTGAGATGCAGGTACATCCAGCAGACGAGTCCCAAATAGGACAAAACGCTCATCATGGATTCCACTGCTAGCCACTATCCATCTTTGCTCATAAAAGCGAAGTTTTTTTCTATCAAAAAGTACAACACAGTCTATTCGTCTTAGAAATTTATCATTCGTTGTAAGATTTATGAGTAGTAATATCAAGTATCAACTTCTAGTTGCGTTTCTTTCTAGCTATTCTTTCTATTCACTGGAAATTATAAGCTACAATTATTTATATCTTATGAAGCAGTGAAAACCTTTGTATTAATTGATTAAATTTCTTTTAGTGTTGTCGAATATATGTTTGTGGATAGGGGTATTAATGTACATGGAGCTATTTATTCTACAATCGAAACATTGTGTTCCTTTCAGAACACATTGAATGAAAGCGTCTCAGTTAATGCTTTTTTTGCTTCTATCATCTTTTTCTAATATTGAATATACAGCAATTAGAGATGATGCTATTCGTATCCTCACGAACCTAATTTCGGAAATTAGCCCAATCTTAATAGTTGATCTGTTCAACAGTAAAAGTGAAAAATCTCGTTATTTATAACTTAATATGATAAATATTTTGTTGGAGTTTTGTTCTCTGAGCTGGATGGTCTGGTTGTGGAGCTTTCATCGTCCTTCTGGACGACATCATCAGCACCAACTTCAGGTAGAAGCTCCATGACCAAACCATCCTCCTCAGAGAACAAAACTTCATCCAAATCATCTACCTGAGCTAAAAATCTCCACCATCTCAAAATCATATGATAAATATACATAAATATGGAAAGATATAAAATTCTTACACTTTTCTTCCATCCATAATAATTTATTTCCTTCTTCTTTTCTTTCAGATAATATTGTATCCAATTATGTAATCCAAGCACCATGGATTTTTTATGTTCACCAACGAATACATGTTCAAAAGCGGATGAATCTCCAATACTTTATATTGGTCATTATATTATTATTATTGTTTTATTATCGTATGTTTTAGAAAGTATTGATTATCATTCATTTCGTGGAACGTCCATGGAAAGTACAAAATCAATATATAAAAACCATTTAAAGGAGTTTACACTTCCTGATAATCATTTAATCTCATGTACTTTAAATTATAAAATAAAGTAAGGATACTGAAATATAAAACAATAGAGTTGGAAGGGGGGTCGATTTACTGGATATCTACACAGATTGAACTGTTAAAACTATCTTAATTGATGAGATAGTGAAATAGTTGAGATCGTGGGTCAATGGAAGCTTTGAACAGATGCTTAAGTTTTGTTGAAGCCTTGATTATGCGGAAACTGAAACCCACTTTATGTGATCCAAAACATTTTGTTGTTCCACTTAACCTACTCTGTTACTACAAATTTATTATCCAGAGTGGTTATCACATTGTTTCTGTGTACTTTATTTTTCTTTGTTACAGCTTTCCTTTAACCTGTCTAGATGACGTTTTGGTTTTCATATAAAAATGTTCCAACAAGTATATATGTGATCAGATTGTTCGAAATGTATTGCGCAAATATATTGCATAATTCTGATTTTTTTTTCACCATTGTGTTTTTTATCAACCATTCTATATCATTCATGGCACACAGAATCCATATAATGTGTAAAATGTAAAAAAAGAAATTATTATAATAAACTGAGAATATACAGATTTAAACTATTTGTTGAGACTACTTAAATGAATATCTGCTCAAATTGATCTGTTAATATTAACTTGATCGATTAAATTGTGAAATGCTACTAGTAAATGCGTTATCTATTTATTTTTTTGCTTAGCGTTTTTAAGCGAGTTAGTTTTCTACATGATAGGGTTCATAAACCCATGCCTAACCCTCCACCTTTATCTGGGTTTGGGATCGATAGTAGCCCCAGAGGGTCTTCAGGCGGAGTTATGTTATTTATTGGTCACCTAAAAATGATATATAACAATCAGACCAGTTAACTGAAAATATACCTTTCATTAATAATATAAAAAACGTACAAAATAATTCATAACATCTATATTTATTTATAAATTTCAATGATTCTAATAAAGTTTTCAATGAAAAAAATGAATATTGTTAATAAACTATTATAGAATTTCTTTATTTAATTGAAACCTTAAGTTGATAAGACTTTATAATCATAGCTGAATTATAAAAGAAGACATGATTGGTTTGAAAATGTAAACTTTTAAATCTTTAAAACTAATGGTACTTTCATTTAATTTATCAACATAGTGCACGCAATGTCGAGTCATCTAGACTAGTTGCCATATTGCAACTTGGTCGATAGCATTCAGTCTGCACTAAGAAGGACCTAACACACATATAATTGATCACTAACCACTGATCAATCCATTTGGAATTGATTTCATAATCAAACGTCATTATTAAAAGTTGTGGATGAGTACGTGAAAACTATTATTGATTATATTAACAATGATTTATATCACTGAAATCTAGGCTCAAGTTCCATTTGTAAGAGTTACATTAATATAATTATTGCACATCATATGAAAAACACATTGAAATTGTCAGTTTAACTTTGTAGAACTAAAGCAGATCCTTTACAACATATGCTAACATATTATGATTCCTGACAGTTGCTGCTATCTTGACGTGGTGGTCGGGCTTGCCTATCATGATGAACTAATCGAGTTATACTTGCTGAAACAACCATTCCTCAAGGTCTTACCATGCCAGACAGGTCGGTTGAAGAGCAGCAAGACTAAAAGCAGTAAACCCAAAGTCCGATGGCGATGTCGTACTGGTGACTGTACAGAAGTGTGACCGTAGTAGAGTGTTTCCTTTAGACAACCAGCATAACAGCGATGCTGCCTTCCCACAAGGAGGGGTGGAGTTAGAAAAGGTCGACCCTAAAATGCACACCTCGCCTTATCCCACGGATTTACGTCTCCGTTGGTAACGTCTCAACAAGTGAGGAGCAAACACGAAAACTACTCACAAAAAGATTGTGTGCGACCGGCCTCAAGCAGTTGTTCCTTAGGCACTGCGGTCACGTTCCCAGGTTAATAAAACTACCTCTAACCCAATTTCCTTTACAGGTACCTCTAGAAGAACCTTTGCATGGTGTGGGTAACCGGGAGGTGATGACCGCCCTCATACCTCTAACAGCACTCAAGATCACTGTATTCATATTGATTATTTGACACTGTTTGAACGCACATACTACATCATAATGAATATATGAAAATTTCTATGGTTAAATAAATTTTAAAATAATCTATGTTTCATAACAAAAAACTTGATCTCCTCTGCTAAATTATGAATCCCTTGTATATTCAAGAAAAATCTGTTTTTGATAATGAAACGAATCAACATTGATAGAGAGCTTTGAATCAAAGTTAGACACTTTCTTTATACTTTGTATTCTCCGATGGTGCTTTAAATGGTGCTAACTCAAAAATGTTATATGGAAATAATTCATCATTTTCAAATATAATCAGTCGAGTGTAAAAGCTACAGCAGAGTAATTCAGATACAATTCAGAGGTTCTAACTTAATCTAGAGAAGATAAAACTACTGATGTTTAAAAAGAACTCAATAAATGTCGTAACTGTTAGATCAATCTACCAGTATAATATTTTTCGAGCGAAGTTAAATAGAAATTCAGCTTAATATGAAAAATCGTAAACTTGAATGATCCTATGGCGCTAAGAAATTTTCAGAAAACCAATTAGGTAGATAGATCTTCAGATCACATTTAAATGTTTTATTCCAGTCTATGGAACATAATGATTAAAACAAGATACACTTTTCTATTTCTGTTAATGCAACTAAATAAGGCAACACCAAGCAGTAAGACAAGTTGCTAGACTCGCTTTTCCGAAAAGCTGTCAGTTCGTGTCATCATCTCACTTCATTTCATCAATCTATCAATATTCTATTGGTCAACATAACAATCGTAATCAAATCACACTAAACTTACTGTCTACGTCTATATCGCTTGAACCACAAATCCTTCAACAATTTCCCCAAATCATCGATTCCTCCTGATATCTTTTGTTTTTCAACTAGAAAATCATAGGTCATTTTCATGATTTTCGTTTTTAGCAATTCATTGATAAAGTCATCTTCCTCCCTTTCTTCTTCTTCTGTGGCGAAGTCACTTATACCAACTTGAGGATTGTAGTTATCCAGTAATGCAATGAACTCTACAGTATAAATATAGTTTTGAATTCAAGCTGTAATCATTTTATGACATAAACATGTTTAACTATCCGTTTAGTAACTTATGAAACAATGGACAACTATAAAAATCTCAGGATGCGGATGGTGTCCCAAATCGAATATTGAAAAAATGGAACAGTTTCAGAAAGAAACAAACGCCATACTATGATACATATAAGAATGTCAGTGTAGAACCGAAGTAGAATGAATTAGAATTCAATTAGCTCAATATTGATTAAGATATAGATCTGTTTTAATAGTTGAATTCATGAGTCAATTGAAGCTAGACCACCGTGGAAACCTGGAAGCACTGGACAGCCGTTTCGTTCTACTGTGGAATTCCTCACTAGTGTGAATTCATGATCCCGTCTCGCGAGATTTGGACCCAGGACTTGTCAGTGCTTCCTGGTGTCTCATGGTGGTCTAGCTTCAATTGACTGATGAATTCAACTATTAAATAACTATAATATTCACAAAAACCCCTCTCTGATTATAATTATTATATGCTCACTAGTGACGGTCTCCAAGAGATATTTCCTGAAGTTCTAGTGAGAAGCAGTGACCAGTGTAGTTCAACTGGGTCACTTGTTAGATAGTAACTCACCTAAGATAATCGTCGATGGTGGTGCAATTTCGTGGATTAGTTGAAGTTAGACATTAATACCGTTGGATGCCAGCTCAGTGATCTAGAATTTAAGCGTTCGTGCACACGAGACCAATAGGTCCTGGGTTCGAATCCCACGACAGGAGTCCCACAATAGGACGAAACGGCCATCCAGTGCTTTCAGGTTTCCAACGGTGGTCTAACATCAATCGGTTTATGGTCTCAATTAAAATGTTTTTATTACAATAATTAGAGATTTTTATATATACGATTGTACAGCTTGATAATAAATTCGTTGAAAAGAGATCCCTTCTCTGAACTTTGTGTTTTTAATGGGAATTATGTGTCAGATTTAATTTCATTTTGATCTACATTTAGAGAAGAATTGTTTTTTTTAATATATGTACTGTTTGAACAATCAGTGACGTAGGCAATACATTGATTAAAACTTAAGCCCGTCATTATTCATTGTGTTAATGGGATAAACTCTACATTTGATTTAGAACGTTAGATGCATTTATCCATTGAGGCTGCAGTATAATTAGTTTGATTCCTAATACAAAAATCGTCTCAGATAAAAAAGATTCACTGATTTGATTAACAGTCAGCTGTCAAGTACTCATGGTATTTATTTTATCTTGTAATCATCCTTTTACGATTGGTTGATCAGTGAGTGCTGATAAATGTTATGTTTAATCCTTCTTAACTCTGATCTAATTCTACTGTCCTAATCGCGATGTTGCCACTAGTTTAAGTGACTTAACATTGCTTAAACTAAGTTGAGATGTAAGGCGGTGGTTGAAGGTGGTCGATTAATGAACTTAAACCAATGTCACGGGTCGAATAGCCCAGTGGTAAGGTCTATAATTATAAAGCTGGGTGATATATGATTGAATCCCACAGATTTATAGGCGCAAGATGCTGACTGGTGCAAAATAGCATGAAACGTGATTCAAATATGGTTTCTAATCAATTACCTCTCCATAATCACGTAGGAATTTTCAAGGCGAATGGTGTATTTGAAGATACATAATTACTGAAGTAATGCTTAGAAACAGCATAAATTATTGTGTACATTAGATAAAAAAGAATGGTGTAAGGAAGGACATAGTTAAAATCAAGATTTCCAGTATAATACATGAGCGAGATTTCATTTAACTTATGTTATGCTAATATTCAAAACACTGGAAATTTCTAACCACACGAATGGAGCTATAAACAGAATGAGACTAGGGTTGATTAACTTATCAAAAGTTGTCTACTACATTTAATTTGGAAATGTTTACTGCTAATCAAGTTTATTCATCACATCCTTCGCAAATATTTTATCTTAATACAACATTACTCTTCTATTCACTTCATGCGTGTCTTTTAAATCTCACCGTTTTATCCAAATCAGATTCGATTAATAATTATTTTAATAGTTGAATTCATGAGTTGATTTAAGCTAGACTACGATTGGAAACTTGGAATAACTAGACGGCCGTTTCGTCCAAGTATGGGACACCTTAGCAATGCACATCGACTCATGAATTGAACTATTAAAATTACTACAATCTCCACAAACCCCCATTCTGATAATTATTATTATTTGCCCTTTACGTTAGTTTTGCATCACAAAACAATTAAGTGAATTTTCAATAATTGTTTTATCAACATGGTTTTGATCCATTATTTGATGTTTGACTCGATTATCATGGGATTTTATTTAAAGAAATTTCATTGTCACGAAAGATCTATAACAGTTATTTATAAAACTTACTTGAGAATGTGGGTCTGGTTTTGAATATATCTTCATTAACATATTCGAACAATGGATCGGGTGACAAGTCTACGAAAGGATCGTTCTGATCTAAATGTTCTATTAATAAAGGAGGAGAAAATGGAAAAATAAATCCTATCGAACAAGTGGCAATGTTCAACTAATATGAGTTACTAAAAGCTGCAGGCATATAACTCAGTCACATTTTACTTTAATAGATATGAATAAATTTGAAATTGATTGATAACTGTGCTTCACAGTAGTGTTATTGAGTATCTTGATTGGTTTATTTTTTGTGTTGGATCAGTTATTTGTCAATCACCTTAAAGAGTGTAATAAATCGGAAACGGTTTGAAGTTTAGAAACACATAAGTAACTATTCGGATTCATAAACCTAATGACCTGGATTAAATATGTTGAGATATTTTGCTCAAACTACGGTCACGTGGAATTACTAGTATCTAATCAAGCCCTTTTGATGGAATTTTGTTCTATGAGCTGGATAGTTTGGTCGATGAGCTTTCATCGTTCTTCTGGACGACATCATCAGCACGAACTTCTACTTTTATTTCTATCCAGCTCAGAACAAAACTCCATTACAATCATCCATCTGAGCTACACATCTCAGTGAAGTCCTTCTTCATACTGACATTAATAAATGTCAACTTTTTGATTAGATCTAGAGACACATTTTGTTCAAATGAAAATCACTGTATTATAAATTTATTGATTTAACGTTAAACCTTGTAGTTTAGTTCGACATTTAATATGATCATTAAACTGAGCACCAAGGATGAATCATTGATTTATGAATGATATGTATAAGTTTTGAACAAATATCCCACTAATATTTCTATTGATTAACAATTTTAATGTAGCCTATTGTGAAAATAGAGACGATGTATTCAGATTAAACACCTTGGTTTTATAAATAACGAAAAATCGTCACTCAAATTCTGAAGAACTATTTGGTAAAAATTATTATTTACTTCATGAGATTCACAAATATATTAGACAATCATTTGTCTAAAACCATATAACTATCATATATGTGTTTTATATTTTTTTCAAATGAATGAGATTCAGGTAGTGAATATATTCGATATGCCAAATTACTTGATCTCACTACTACATGTAAAACACACACTATATCACTTCAACGATACATCATTCAAAATAAAACTCCATTTCTGTAGTTATGACCAACAACATTTTCTTATTCCATAAACTTTCATTGTTCTGGTCAATCAGATGGACCAACATCCAAGTAATGATGTTCACAATGAGACACGGATCCAACAACCATCACTTCGAATACTAACGGTTTATCCAATAACATACTCATCAGAACAATCACTTACTAATCTCTATGAATTTATCTGTGAGAGATTGTGAATTCACATTCATGTAATTACTTTTGAATTTTAGTAGTCATTTCAGTGTAATGGAAACGGGAAACATTGTTGATAAACTCAGAGAACAAACAATACTATATATATCACAGATAAAATACTATCATGACTTGTTAGAACAGTATTCACCATGTCAATAGAGAATGATAAAAATGGGATTCGAATTACTTTGTAAATTGAGTTTGTAATCTATACCAGGTCGAACTATATTCTCATCTGCTTTGTACAGTTTCGTATAGAATTCACTCAATTCCTTATTTTCCTCAGGTGGTACACTGTTTTCCAACACCCTAAAAGTTGTGATAAATCGTTAATAATTAAACATGAAAATCAGTAATTCACTTCATTTAAAACGAGATTCAAAGCATATAAAAGGTTGTTCATATCAATCAAATGAGACTCATATATAGCGTCACCTATCAGTGAGCATCTTTAATCTGCAATGACACCAAGGTAGGTGTTCAGAAATTCAAAGCATACTGTACAGTCATTCGATTCCACATGGATTTACGTCTACTTGAAATTAAAACTCAATTGAACTGGTTCCAACACGTCATGAATAATTCAAAATGAATACAGATTTTCAAATGATGATGACAGAGTAGCCATCGTTTGACGGTGTATGTACAAATCTCCTATCTCAAATACTCATGTTGACAGAAAATCAAATCACAAAATAAACTTATATAAACAACACTGTATCCAGATTTTGACAACGCTTATACACATTAACCTTTGTCTATTCAAATTACAGAATAAAAAATAGAATGACCATGTTCACACTATGCATTAAGTTTCATAAGACTGTTTACCGATACTTAGATACCTACTTGCTTACTTACGCTTGTTACCTCTCTTCGAAGAGCATAAACCACTCACCACCATTCTCCACTCAACCCTGTCCTGGGCAATCCTTTCTATTCAGCCTTTTCATATTTGCTTCCCGTTCCCAACGCAGTGTTTTCTTTGGCCTTCCACTTTGCCGTTCACCTTCATGATTCCAAGTTAGTGCTTGTCTCGTGATGCAGTTTATTGATGTCTGTGATATACACTCCATCTATCTAAGAAATCTTTTCTTAACTTTCTCTTCAGATGGAACCTGGTTTGTTCTCTCCCATAATTGTATGTTACCGATGATATTCGATCAACGGACACTGAGTATATTGTGTAGACAATTGTTTGCAAACACTTGTACATTTTTGATGATGATTGAGATAGTTCTCGAAGTTTCAGTTCAATACAGTAGAAGTGTGTTTACGTTCTTGTTGAAGATTGTGATTTTGATGTTGGCTTGCACATAGTTGTTTTGAGTTCCTTTTGTTGTTCAACTGTGAGAATGCTATCTTTGCTTTTCCAATCCTTGAATTTACATCTGCACCAGATTCTCTTTGTTCATCGATAATGTTGACCAGTTACGTGCATATTTATTCACCAAGTGTTATCGGGTTGGTGTTTCCTTGGTTGTATTTGAGAATCTTGCTTTTTCCCTTGTGAATGTTGAGGCCTATTGATGCAGAGGCTGTTGTTACATTGGATGTTTTCTTGTAGTTGTTCTTTAAAAGGAACTTGAATATTATATTGTTCAACTTCTTTAACAAACATGTTAAGAAGATTTGGAAACGAGCTTCAATATATAAGTTTAAGAAACATTTTCTATAGAACTCCACATTTCCACATTTTTAGTATTCTATGTTTTGTCTTTCACTGTTACTATTTATCTGTCTACCATTCCATAACCGGTTTCATAGAGTGAAATCATAATAATAAATAATCCTGGCCAACACATTGATGTGTGATCAGAATAATTGAAGTGTTCAGTTGTGAATTTCATCTACCTAGTTACTTGAATTATTGAAAGAAAATAAAACTGTGAGATTTCTGTTGTTAATGAAAGTTGTAGTAGTAAATATTGATAAACTTAATAATAAAATTGGAATTTTTATCAAAATATGCCACCATTCAAGTTGCAAATCACTGGAAAAACCTGAAAATTATTTGCAACATCATTGTTTCAAGCAGAATATTCACTCATTTACACTATTGTTTGCTGTAATTAACTAACCTATGTAATCATTTCAAATAGAAACCAAATAAAAACTAGTATTTGTTGTGACTTTATGTCCGGCTTTTTATCACGTGATTTATCCACCAATCAAAATACGACTTATAGAATCTTAGCACTGTGCCAAACCAATAACACTCGACCAGTATGAGCAGCCTAGAGTCCTTATTGGTCCTATGTTCTCCTAGCCCGTCCACATGAGTCCAGACACCAATACCAGCTCCCATTATACGAATCGAATCGAATCGAATCGAACCATTCATTTCAGACATACTGGGTTTACATATCAAACAAACAGATTGCGACGCGCCATAAAATAGGAAATAATATTTGTACACAATAAAGCCAAAAAGTGGTTGTGAACGTAGTAGACAGTAATCAATAAACTGAGTATAATTTAGGGACAGTAAATCGTATAATAATAATCTATAAGTCAAAATGAAGCTTATAATAAGAGGAATATAAATATTATACATAACCTAATTATTGAATAGTTATACAATAAGAATATAGAATATTAGTCCATTAATAGTTCTCGGAAGTTACCCGCAATTCAATCTTCACTAGGACATAAAAGTATTGACGAAGTAAATCAGTTCAATTTAACAGATTCACATGACTGAAGTATGATTTTGACAACAAGTCAATTAGTTCTGTTCATTCATATATTATGTTTAAATCATGTACTTTTATTATAAGATAAATTAACTAATTCCGTAATTAAGACAATTAAAAATATAGTATTTGACACCTTTACTAACCATATGATCTCAATTTAAATAAATACTAAGTACATAATGATACGTACAAAAAGCATTTGAAAACCAGTCTACATTCACCAAAGTGTGTTTATTTCAAAGATATTCTAGAATATTTCAATATGAAATGGACACACAGGAATATATATATATAATTGATTTAACCATAACGACAACTTTTAATTCCTGTTTAAGGCTACTTCAGTATTCTGGTAGTTTAGCTTAACTTTATACAAAACACTTAATTAAAATTATCAATGTATAAACTTTCAATATTCTTCTACCTATGTCACATGATACTTTTAACTTCCTTTGTAGTACCTTTTTATCAGTTGTAAAAATGAAATGTTATGTAACTCTTTAACTTGGATTCGGATAAAGTATATCACGTTTACATTCATACAAGGAGAATATTTTGGCTATATTCCTTGATATAACCTGATTATTTCCCTGTGAATTATTTGTTCAAATCTTCAATAACCTAATTCATGTATTCTTAGAATAGATAAGAGAATTTCACAAGTATCATATTTATACGCCTAATGACTTTAAATGAAGTAGAGTTTTCAAAAATGACATATTCATTTGATTATTTCTACGATAATTTTTTATTATTAGTCTCCCAATCGCTTATTATTAGCAATGACGAATCCTACAAAGAAATAAATAACATTTCAATGTATTTAAAGTGAACCCTTGGAATTTTCGTTCTTTACTTAACAATATCTCAAAACTAAACAGAACTAAGTGAGACCATTTCGGGAAAAGACTATACTCTTATTTGTACCGAGTCCAGACGTTTAGAACGATGGGCGGAACACTAAGGAACAGTTCAGTTGGCCTTCAGCTACTCTACAACTACCCACCATTCACAGACAGTGTCAATGGAACATTGAAGTAGGTCCCCCAACTCTAGCTGAAGTTCAAAAGGCTATAGATAATCTGAAACGAGGAAGGGCAGCTGGTCCAGATGGATTGGCCCCAAAAGTCTTTAAGCATGGTGGTCCAATTTTAGCGACTAGGTTGACCAATATTTTAGCTAAAATCTGGGAGTTGGACGTAATCCCCTCTGATTGGTCACAATCACTTATCGTCCCAATATATAAGAAAAGGATAAAATCATCCTCTGACAACCATAGAGGGATTAGTTTGACTAATATAGTATCTAAAATACTAGCCTCGATAATTATTGAACGCCTAGCTAAGACTAGTGAACTGCAAACACGACAGAATCAAGATGGCTTCAGACCCGGTTGTGGATGCATAGACCACATATTCACCATTTGTCAGGTTCTAGAACACAGGCATACTTATCGGCGTCCGACAATGGTGGTCTTCCTTGACCTAAAAGCAGCGTTTGACTCTGTTGACCGAGAGGTTCTGTGGCAGTGTCTGTCATTGAAAGGCGTACCTCAGAAGTACATAAACCTTGTGAAGGCTCTTTACTCGAACACTACTAGACTTAGAATACGAAGATGACATAGTCCTGTTTGGTGAAGACGCTGATAAAATGCAGTCTTTTGGTATCACTGAGCAACAATGCCAGAATATTTGGGATGCGCCTCTCTCCCTATAAGTGCAAATTGTTGCTTCAGAACTGGTCTGCGTCAATACCTGAACTAAGGATAGGGAGTGAATTAGTCGGACGCCTTGACTACTCCACTTATTTAGAAGTCTGATCAGCCCTAATGGGTTTGTGTGTGACGAAATCTCAGCACGGATTCGAAAACCTCGTTCGGCTTTTGCCAACTTACGTCACCTATTGCGAAGGTGAAATATCCATCTATCAATTAAGATACGAGTATACTGCGCGGCAGTTCGTTCTGTTCTACTATACGGCTGCGAAACGTGGCCATTAAGAGTAGAAGATACTTGTAAGCTACTAATATTTGACCACAGATGTGTTATAAATATTTTTGGCATTTCCTGGGATCACCGGGTAAGTAATAGTGAGGTTAGACGCAGGGTATTAGGGAACGATGGTAAATCAGTTGATGAGATTGTGAATCTTCATCGACTGAGATGGTTAGGCCAACGATTACCACGACGTGCAATGCTGACCAGTGTTGGGGATGATTGGAAGAAAGTTAGAGGCAACCAAACCAAAATGTGACTTCAGTACTTGAAGTCACCAACTTCTGGTCTGAGCCATGTTGGTAGATGCAGACTACTTGGTTGGCGTCCGCGTGACTATTGTAACCAGTGGTTGAAGACTCTAGGTGACATGGCTCAGAATCGACCACAATGGCATAGGTGTATACACGCTTCGTCTTCTCATAAACTATGAGACTAAAATTATTTCATATCTTTCTTTCTGCGAACTAATTCTTTCTTACTGTACTATAACCTTATATGCAATCTTTCCTTTATATATTACACCATTGAGTCAGCTGATTCTATGAATCCGGTGTTCGTCATACTGTGCTAATTAGGTGTGGCAACTTGAACCGATGCATGTATGTGCCTGGTCCTACGTTGTAACTGACTGACTGACTGACGATAGATATAAGAAATACGTATCACAAGTCAAAAGTGAAATACCTGGCAGCAGAAGGTTAAGAAGATTGGAGAAAAGAGAACGAGAACAGAGAATGATTAGTATGGAAACGAAAGAACAATAAAGTCTGAGACGATTGACTGATATTTTGCAAACGAAGTATTTACTGTACGGTTCTGAGATTTTACTAAGAGATTCTATAATTTTGTGTTTCAATACATTCGACTATCCTCACTACAAAATACGTATGATAATCTTATGGTAATCTTCTCATCATTATTTGATATTATTGGATAATTAGGTAAAAAGAAGGGGGTTTTGAACAGCTAAGCACTTGATTCCATATTTTGTTTCCTAAAAAACTTGTTTTTTTCAGAGGCTGAGTTCCTAGGTTGTTCATAATTTAATTACTAATAGGGATTTATAGTAAATCTCCATAAACACTCAGAATTGGTGAACTTCATGTTTAGTTTTCCATGACCAACGTAAATTAAGTCATTGGTTGTTGTTAATTGATTTGTTTTTTTTTACTGAAATAATTGTCACTTCAGCTTTTCTTTGTTTATATAAAATGTTATCTAGAAAGCTTGCATTGTGGGAAAAAATTTGCATAACTTATTTTGAGTTTATCGAGAAATAAAATACCCGTAATCCAAGCAGAATCGTCTATGAATAGAACTGCTTATTACCTAAATCTTGAACAATATACACGGTCAACAATTGGAATTAAACAAACATAATTCATAGTATTCTCTCAAAACCTATAGAATTCAAGGAATTAAAGTTTTGGAATAGATCTAGATATACTATTCTGTTTATCAACATTTTTCTGAAAAGACGTATTTTCAGATAAGTCATATGTTCATTGTCATATTATGAAACAAAACTATCTATTTATTAAAGGCTTCAAGATTGTTCAAAAACATCTGAACCTCTACAAATTTTAACATCAATTGAAAGGTTTTTATCCAAGAAACTTTTCGTTTATGCCAGACAACATAAAAAAACACTAATTCACCATTATACTGGTTGGACTAGATTGATATATTCTTTGTTCTTTTTCTATGTGATCCACAAACATAATTTTGACTAATATATACTTAGTTACTTCTTCCTTATACAGTAGTTTATATACAAATCTGAAAATTATCTGAGTAATTTACGATCATCGTTAGCATAGGGTTGTGGGGGTGTTGAGTTATAATTAGACTACAACATATGGTGAATCCAATAGGTAATCATGTTACCTATAGTTGAACTTGTATTTTGCTTGTCAATATACTACCTAATCTTCGCTAAAATATTCTTATAGATATTATTCACTAACGTACTTCCGTATTTATGCCTGCTAATCTTAGTCAAGGAGAATAGACCGCCTACCACCATTCTCCGAGTAACTCTGTCACAAAAAATACTTTCTAAGAATTTCATGGATAACTTAAGTGAATGAAAGACTGGATCTAACCGTTGTCTAGATTCTAGAAGGAGCGTTAAAATTTAAGAAGTCAAGAATGAATTTGGATAGTGTGTTACCAGTGACTTTTTTTTCTCATCTCTTATCTATTCTGTTTGAAGATTACATATCACATTAAATTCACTTATCAATTAGTGTGATTGTCACATTCCTCTATGATAATATAAAAATATACTACAGTCTTCAAGTTTCATATACAAGAGGTCATATGCATACTGAGCCTACGCTTTTATTAAATGTTATGGGTAAAAACAACAATTTCATCTGATATAAAATTCTAGACTCATTATAAACAATCCATTATAAACAAGGTCATTAAAATACACTGCACTTTCTAGAGGTGAATGTTTGAGAGTGATGATACTAATTAGAAAAATTGAGAATGTTAACAGAGTATCAGATAAACTTATCAAACTCATAGTTTTCATTTAGTTAGTTTCTAGTTGTAATGAATGTAATCTTGATTAACTAAGCCACTGGTGTAATACTAATTAACTAATGACTGAATGTACATCTTTCACTTCAATTACATTTTGAAAACAAAGAAAACTGCCCATTTACTTGTTACATCACTGTGTTTAGCAAAGAAAAATGATAATGTGAATGTATTTCCTAACTAACACCTGTTACACCTCGTCGAAAGGCATAAGCCATCTCACCACCATTCTCCATCCAACCCAGTCCTGGACAATCCCTTCTAGTTCCATCCAGTTGCTATTCATCTTTCTCATGTGTGCTTACAAGTCCCGACGTAGTGTGTTCTTTAGTCCTCCACATTTTCGGTTCACCGTCACGATTCCAATTTAGTGTGGCCTCATGAACCTATCCACTTCCAACGTCTTTTCCTAATTTCCTATTCACATGGAACCTGGTTTGTTCTCTCCCATAATTGTATGTTACTGATGGTATCCGATCAACGGACATTGAGTATCTTGTGTAGACAATTGTTTGCAAACACTTGTACATTTTTGATGATGATTGAGATAGTTCTCGAAGTTCCAGTTCAATACAGTAGAAGTGTGTTTACGTTCTTGTTGAAGATTGTGATTTTGATGTTGGCTTGCACATAGTTGTTTTGAGTTCTATATGTTAATCAACTGTGAGAATGCTGTCCTCACTTTGCCAATCCTCACCTCGACATATGCATCAGATCCTCTTTGCTCGTCGATGATGCTGTCCAGATAGGTAAGTGAATGTCCCCACCCCTTAGAAAGCTTCTCCATCAAGTGCTGTATTTAAGGATCTTAGTTTTTCCCTTTTATAGGTTGAGGCGCACTGCTGCATAGGCTGCTGCCACACTGGCTGTTCTCACCTGCATTTGTTGGTATGTATGTTATAGAAGAGCTAGGTCATCTATGAAGTACAACTCTTCAAATTGATTCCGAGCTGTCCATTGTATTCGGTACTTCCCCTCAGATGTCGGGGTATTTATAATCCAGTCAACCACTATAAGAAAGAGGAAGAATGAGAGTAGACAGCCCTACTTGACTCCGGTCCCCAATTGCAATGCATCTGTCAGCTGTCCTCCATTCATAACTTCGAATTGTAGTCCGTCATATGAATTCCGCATGATATTGACGATATTTCTAGCTACTCACACCATAGTGTTGAACAAGTTTCCATCAGGTTCTCATATCCACGTTGTCAAACGCCTTCTCATAGACAAACAACTTGGTTCATAGTAACGAATTACATTCAACTGGTTGATCAACGATGGTTCGTCGTGTTGAGATTTGGTCTATGAACAACCGATTCCTTACGGAATCCAGTATGTTGATCTCGAAGATGAGTGCTTACTGGATCCTTCATCTGGTTCAGCAACATTATGTTGAAAACATTTCCTGGTACTGACAGCAATATGATTCCACTGCAGTTCTCACATTTGCTTAGACCTTCTTTCATTTGTATCTAGATGAGATATTCTTCTTTCCAGTCTGTCAGTGGCATTTGTTCCTCCTCCCAAATCCTCCTAAATAGAACGTGAAGCATATTTGCATTTACTTCTGTGTCTGCCTTCAAGCCTTCAGATAGTGTGCTGTCAGGTCCTACTGTTTTATAAATCTCGATTTGTCTGATGATCAAACATCCTGATTTCTCCGATCGTTGGTATGGTGACAGCGATAAGAAGATCTGTAAGTGCTGTTTCGATGTCCGGTGAATTCAATCGGGCTGGCCTATTCAGGAGTTGCTCAAAGAGTTCTACCTACCTTTTATCCATTCCTGAATCTCAGTAATTTCTTGCCCTCTTTGTTCTTGACCAGTCTTTTTGGTTCACTATTGTTCTTCACCAGTTTCTTCGTTGTGTCGTATAGCTTTCTTCATACTTCCTTCTCTTTCAGCTTTGTCTGCTGTCGTTGCTAGGTCTTCTATTTATTTCTGCCTGTCAGTTCTAATGCTCCTCTTCACCTGCATGTTTGCTTCCGTGTATCTAACTAATACCTTAAATTTCTTTGTTGTTGTTCGGCCGTTGTGAGTTGTTGTATTCATGTTCCTTGATTGAATCCTGTCTAGCGTTTCGATAGAGATCCAATTCTATCATGATGCCTCTTGACACTCAGAACCTCATTACACGTTCACATTAGTGCTTCTCTGATCCCTTTCCAATTGTCCTCCATCGTAGCCTCTTCTACTTCCAGTAGATCCTGTAAGGATTGGAACCCGTGTGCGTTATCGTGGATGGGTACTACACGGGGAGTGCCGTACTAGGGCAAAGACGCCGTTCAGTACTTGTGATTATTCAAGGGTAGTCTAACTAAAATCCATTCGTGAATTCAACTGTGAAAATACTACATTCTCCACAAATCGCTATACTGTAAATGATTTCTCAAGTAAATTAGTTTATACTGTTTACTGAAATTAGATGTGAATAATTGGTAGTATATACATGACAAAAGAGATTTATTCATCGTTTTACATTTTAATATTTTATAATGAAGGATTTGTTGTAGCGTATGTTTGAATAACACTGTGGTCGGGTGTTACACATTCATTTATAGTAATGGTGAACGTTAGTTGTGTGATTTGAAAGAGCCTAACTCTTTCCAATAAGCCAATCACTAGGAATAGCTGATTTAGACTTATGTCTAATCATTCACTTCCATACATCTATTTAACATATAAGCCTTTGTAACATTACATTTGGAGTTTCACATTATTTATTGAGATTTTTACCCCAGAATGCACTGGTACAACCGAGAGTGGTAAGAATCAGCTCTTCCTCCTGAAATACTCTCACATGGTCACGTGCATACAACTACTGACAGGGAAGTCCTACTCATTGCCTTCTCGTGGTGGTGGTGGTGTATTGTTTACGTAATTGAGAGTACGAAAGCGAGTGTCCCAGACCTCACAAAAATCGGATGATTTATGTGGTGCATATCTATTTAGTGCCTCCTTGTATCAATGTTTATGTGTTCAAATAAAATAAATCATTCTTCTATCTATCTATAAACAGTATTTAGATAATTAATATGCTAAACTTTATGTGTATACAAGAAATTTGCATCAACCATAATACAGTGGTTTATTCAATTAACAAAAATCAGCTCTCTACTGATCATATAAGACTTTCTCTACACCAACAGTTACTGTTCCAAAATAACATAAAGAAGATAAAGTATGGTGGATCACAGTGGTCTAAACTGATAGTGTACAAAACCATCTAAACAATCAGTTTATTTTATATGAAACCTTCATTTCTCTAAACAAACAAAATTATTTTGTCCAGACGAGAACAAAAACAACATAAATATTCACATATACCATTGAAGTCATCACAACAACAATATACAATAATAATAATGATTCATACAAACAATATTTTAGAAAATACACACAACTATACACAATGTTTATTAATAACATTATTAAGGTCATTGAACTTTTTACCTTTCTCTTACATTTTCATTATATTCTATTAGTCATTACAATTGACAGTATGAAGTCTAATGTAAGCATTTTGTATATTTACGTCATTTGAATAGGTAACAAAATAGTTCTAAAAGTACATTGACCTAGTGGTCTAAAGGTTAAGCGCTCGCACGCGAGACTGATAGCTCCTGGGTTCTAATCTCACGGAAGAGTGGGCGAGATCGTGGATACACACTGCTCAGGAGTCCCACAATAGGACGAATTGGCCGTCCAATGCTTCCAGGATTCCCATGGTGTTCTAGCTTCAACTGACTCATGATCTCAACCATTGAAATTACTAATAATATTCACAAGACCCCTTGTGAAAATATCCAGTCTAATGTAAACATTTTGTATATTTC